GTGGACGTGAACCTGCCCAAGGCTGACATTGACATCTCAGGCCCCAAGGTGGACATTGATGTTCCAGATGTGAACATTGAAGGTCCAGATGCAAAGCTGAAAGGGCCCAAGTTCAAGATGCCAGAGATGAACATCAAAGCCCCCAAGATCTCCATGCCTGATATTGACTTTAATTTGAAGGGCCCCAAAGTGAAGGGCGATGTGGGTGTCTCTCTTCCCAAAGTTGAAGGTGACCTCAAGGGCCCTGAAATTGACATCAAAGGCCCCAAGGTGAACATAGACAGTTCTGATATCAACATTGAAGGTCCTGAAGGAAAATTGAAGGGCCCTAAATTTAAGATGCCAGAGATGCACATCAAAGCTCCCAAGATCTCCATGCCTGACCTTGATTTAAATCTAAAAGGGCCAAAGGTCAAGGGGGATGTGGATCTTTCACTACCTAAGATAGAAGGGGATCTGAAAGGGCCAAGAGTGGACATTGAAGTTCCTGAAGGGCAGCTCAAAGGTCCCAAATTCAAGATGCCTGATGTCCACTTCAAAACCCCACAAATTTCCATGAGTGACATTGATTTAAACTTGAAAGGTTCTAAGGTAAAAGGAGATTTGGACATTTCTGTTCCTAAATTGGAAGGAGATCTGAAAGGCCCCAAAGTGGATATTAAAGGGCCCAAGGTGGACATAGACACTCCTGACATTGACATCCATGGCCCAGAAGGGAAACTCAAGGGGCCCAAGTTTAAAATGCCTGACTTGCACCTCAAGGCCCCCAAGCTCTCCATGCCTGAAGTCGACCTGAATCTGAAGGGCCCCAAAGTGAAGGGTGATGTGGACCTTTCTCTGCCCAAAGTGGAAGGTGACCTCAAGGCCCCTGACGTTGACATCAAAGGCCCCAAAGTGGACATTGATGCCCCAGATGTGGACATCCATGGCCCAGACTGGCACCTGAAGATGCCCAAAGTGAAAATGCCCAAGTTTGGCATGCCGGGCTTCAAGGCAGAGGGCCCAGAGGTGGACATGAACCTGCCCAAGGCTGACGTTGACATCTCAGGCCCCAAGGTGGACATTGAAGGTCCTGATGTGAACATTGAAGGCCCAGATGCAAAACTGAAGGGGCCCAAGTTCAAGATGCCAGAGATCAATATCAAAGCCCCCAAAATCTCCATGCCTGATGTTGACTTGGAATTGAAAGGACCTAAAGTAAAAGGAGATTTTGATGTTTCCATTCCTAAGATTGAAGGTACTTTCAAAGGCCCGGAAGTTGACCTTAAAGGCCCAGGTTTGGATTTTGAAGGCCCTGATGCCAAACTCAGTGGTCCAAATTTGAAGATGCCTTCATTGGATATATCTGCCCCTAAACTAACAGCTCCTGATATTGATTTGCATCTCAAGGCACCCAAAATTGGAACTTCTGGTCCCAAATTAGAAGGTGGTGAGCTGGACCTCAAAGGGCCCAAAGTTGATTTAGAAGCTCCAAGCCTAGATGTGCACATGGAGAGCCCAGATGTGAACATCGAGGGACCAGATGTGAAAATCCCCAAATTTAAGAAACCCAAGTTTGGATTTGGGGCTAAGAGCCCCAAAGTGGACATCAAGTCACCTTCGCTGGAAGTGACTGTTCCAGAGGCAGAGCTCAACGTTGAGACTCCTGAAATTAGTGTTGGTGGCAAGGGCAATAAAAGTAAGTTTAAAATGCCAAAAATTCACATGAGTGGTCCTAAAATGAAGGCCAAAAAGCAGGGATTTGATTTGAATGTTCCGGGGGGTGACATTGATGCCAGTCTCCAGACCCCGGATGTAGATGTTAATCTCACAGGGCCAGATGCTGCACTTAAAGTCGATGTGAAATCTCCCAAAACCAAAAAATCGATATTTGGAAAGATGTACTTTCCTGATGTAGAATTTGACATTAAATCACCTAAATCGAAAGCAGAGGCGCCCCTCCCTGCCCCCAAAATGGAGGGTGAAATCCATGCACCCGATCTGGACATTTCTTCACCAGGGATAAATGTGGAAGGCCCTGACATCAAGCTGAAGGCTCCTAAGTTCAAGATGCCAGATGTGGAAGTTTCAGGGCCCAAAATAGAGGGTGACCTGAAGGGCCCCAAGGTGCAGGTAAACGTGGACGCACCTGGCATCAACGTCGAAGGCCCAGGTGCCAAAGTCAAAACTCCATCATTTGGCGTCTCTGCCCCTCAAGTCTCCATCCCTGAAGTGAACGTTAACTTGAAAGGCCCAAAGGTAAAGGGGGATGTCCCCAGTGTGGGACTGGACGGACCGGATGTAGACCTGCAAGGCCCAGAATCGAAAATCAAGTTTCCCAAGTTTTCGACCCCCAAGATCGGTGTCCCTGGTCTGAAGGTGGAAGGCGGAGGTGCTGAAATCCAGCTGCCCTCTGTCGAAGGAGGCTTGAGCACACCAGATGTCAAGCTCGAAGGGCCCGATGTGTCTCTGAAAGGTCCGAAAGTAGACTTACCTTCGGTGAACCTCTCGATGCCAAAAGTCTCAGGGCCTGACCTTGACCTGAACTTGAAAGGACCAAGTGTGAAGGGAGATCTGGATGCCTCTGTCCCCGGTCTGAAGGTGCAGGCCCCGGGGCTTGACCTTCAAGGTGGCAGTGGGAAGGTGAAATTGCCGGGAATTGATGTCACCACGTCATCCATGAATGTTGCTGCTCCAGAGGTGACCCTGAAGGGACCAAGCCTGCAGGGAGACCTGGCTGTGTCTGGCGATGTCAAGTGCCCTAAAGTGTCAGTTGGTGTCCCCGATCTCAGCTTGGAGGCACTGGAAGGTGGCATCAAACTTCCTCAGATGAAGCTGCCTCAATTTGGCATCTCCACCCTGGGGTCTGACTTGGATGTCAGCAGCCAGGGGCCACAAGTCACCGGTGAGCTCAAGGGGCCAGGCCTGAGCCTGAAGGGGCCTCAGATCTCAGCACCAGAGGTGGACTTGAGCTTGGAAGGACCAAAGGTGAAAGGGGGCCTCGGGGCCACTGGCGGGCTGAAAGCTGGAGGCAGCCTGCCAGGCATCAGTGTGCAGGGCCTGGACGGAGGCCTCCAGATGCCTGGAGTGAAGTCCCCTGGGTGCCACGTGGAGCTGCCTGGTGTGAACGTGAAACTCCCAACAGGGCAGATCTCTGGTCCTGAGGTCAAAGGTGATCCGAAGGGGTCAGGCGTAGGCTTTCACGGGGCTGCTCCTGACATCAGTGTAAAGGGGCCTTCATTCAGCACAGCCACTCCCGAATCAGATTTCGGTGTCAGCTTGAAGGGCCCCAAGATCAAAGGATGTATGGATGTTTCAGGGGGTGTCAGCGCTCCAGACGTCAGCCTGGGCGAAGGGCATATGAACATCAAAAGTTCTGGGGTTGAGTGGAAAGGACCTGCTGTCAACGTGGATGCCCCCAGGCTTGCTGGAGGACTTCATTGCTCAGGACCAAAGGTAGAAGGGGGTGTGAAAGGGGGGCAGGTCGGACTCCAGGGTCCTGCGCTGGGTGTGTCTGGGCCTCAAGTTCACTTGGAAAGTGGAGCTGGAAAGGTAACATTCCCCAAGATGAAGATCCCCAAGTTCACCTTCTCTGGCCGTGAGCTGGTTGGCAGAGAAGTGGGGGTGGACATCAACTTCCCTAAAGCGGAAGCCAGCGTCCAGGCAGCTGCAGGAGAGGGCGAGTGGGACGAGTCTGATGGAAAGCTTAAAAAGTCCAAAATCAAAATGCCCAAGTTCAATTTTTCCAAACCTAAAGGGAAAGGTGGTGTCACGGGCTCGCCAGAAGCCTCCATCTCGGGGTCCAAAGGTGACCTGAAGAGCTCGAAGGCCAGTCTGGGCTCTCTGGAAGGAGAGGTGGAGGCCGAGGCATCATCTCCCAAAGGCAAATTCTCCTTGTTTAAGAGCAAGAAGCCCCGGAACCGCTCCAATTCCTTCAGTGATGAGAGGGAATTCTCGGCGCCTTCCACCCCCACCGGGACTTTGGAGTTCGAAGGAGGCGAAGTGTCCGTGGAAGGCGGGAAAATCAAAGGGAAACAGGGAAAGCTGAAATTTGGTACCTTTGGTGGATTGGGGTCAAAGAGCAAAGGTCATTATGAGGTCACTGGGAGCGACGAGGAGGCGGGCAAGTTGCAAGGGAGTGGAGCCTCGTTGGCCTCCAAGAAGTCCCGCCTGTCATCTTCCTCCAGCAGTGACAGTGGGACGAAGGCTGGCATCCAGCTGCCCGAGGTGGAGCTCTCCGTCTCCACAAAGAAAGAGTGACGGGCTCGGCGCTTGTGTACATATATATATAAAGATGCATCAGCCTTGGGTGTGTTTGTATATAAACTGCAAGGAGAAACACACCGACAGCCTCAGCAATAATGCGGAGATCTTGCCTCTCCCAGCGGCGAGCACGGAAGAACCAGCCGCCTCTCAGCTCCTGGAGCTGCACAGAGGGGTGCAGAGTGCCAGGTCCTCCAGCCCAGGTGCAAGGTCAACAGTATTTGCCTTGAGATTTCAGTTTGGGTTTTTTTTTTTTTTTTTTTTGCATTAAATGCTGAGAACTCTTGTTTACTGAGCAAGCTTTTGTGTTTATTATTCTCATTTTTACTGAACATTGTTAGTGTTGGGGTAATGGAAACCCATTTTTTTCATTGTAATGACTTCTGGGGCTTTGTTAGTAAGGGTGGGGTGGGGTAGGACAGGGGCCGGCCCTCCGTTTCTGGAGAGTGGCTCTTCTGGAACAGCAAACGCCCAAAGATGGCTGACACCTGCAGCCGGTGGGGTGCGTGGGTGTTTCTAGAGCTCTCTAGTGTAGCTTTTTCCCCTGGGGGTGGTGGTCTCAAGCCAGTTTGGTGCTCTTGGTGAGGGAATTAGAATCTGTTTGCAAAGTGTCCAACCGGCCAGCTCAACACGAGGAGCTTCCATTCTGTGCATTGTTGGAGAAATTTTTCTTTAAGACCGCCATGTTCCCGATTAGTTCTGATTTCTTTTAACAAATGATTAAGAAATTTTCCAGCACTTTAACGGCAAATTGATTAAGAATGTAAGAAAAGTGATGCTGTCAAAGGCCAATAAAGCTATTAACCCAGACTTCATGTGCCTTTGCATTCTGTTTTGGGGGGATGGAGCTGGGGGAGGCTGCGTGCCCAGGCTTCAGGCTGGATCCGCCCCGTGGCACCGAGTCTCATCAGTCTCTTTGAAGCAGTGGCCTCTGCTTCTCAGTTCTCATGGGGACTGGATGCACCATTGCTGAGAAATCAAGAGAAGCGTGGTGCACAGGTGGCATCAGTCCCAGGCCCCTACCCACTGATGCTTCTGTCCATAAAAACACTCGTTCAAAACTGTTCTCAGAAGGTACAAGATACGCTAGGCAGTGCAGAACAGCCTCCAGTCATGTGGAAGGGCTCACTGTGTGTCATCAGGCTGTTCCTGACTTAGCTGCAGGTTTGCGTTGCATCTTTCCCCCCCAGCCCCAGATGACAGCATCCACACGCTCTCCATCATGCTTGACAGCTGGCTTCCCCTACAGCCTGGCCTCTCCTGCCCAGCTGCCCTGGCTTGGATGTTGGACATGCACCTGGGAGCTTCACCCATTCCCACCTTGTTACCAAGTTTCTGTGCCTGAGGGTTTATGCGGGATGGAGGTGGGAAGCGGGAATGATTGGGAAGTCACTGGAAGTCACACATGTGCATGATATTTCTACAGGGTGATAAGAATGCTGGTAGACAGGCTCTCAGGGTGACATCTCATGGCTGGGACAGTCACAGGTGGCGGGGGAGATGGAGAAGAAGGCACCTGGCCATTCAAACAAGAGAAATGCCTGAGTCAGCCCTGCCCAAAGCAGGCCAGCCAGGAGCCACTCTCCTGCAGTGACTGTCACCATAGAACGGGCAGCGGGGGGAGGGACCAGGGGCCAGTGTGAATGTGTCACTGGCTTTCCTTCGTCCAGACTGCTCCGCTCACCCTTGCCAGTGCTCACAGCCTCCTCTCCCTGGCCTCTCTGAGTCCTGGTGGAGTCACTCCCCAAAGTCCTACAGGCCTCAGGTTCTTGGGATCTTACACTCTGAGATCTTGGCTACTGTACTGGAAGGTGAGTTGCATCAGGAAGGCAAGGAAGGGCCAGCCCGGGCGCACTGGCAGGCAGAAGGCTCGGCCGTCAGGAAGGTCAGCAGCCTTGCACATACCTTGACCTCAGGATGACTGTGAGTGGGAAGTGCTGTGTTGAAAGGTCATTCAGAAAACAAATCATTTTATTTCTTTTTGAGTTTTTAAATTTTCATTTCCCCCCTATGGAATTTTGCTCTGATCATTTTTTCATATTACTTATTAAAGATTTGTTTATACATACAGGAACTAGGGTACTGGCCAGAGGTGCAGGGGGTGAGAGGATTCACCAGAGAGAGCAGGGAGCAGAACAGGTGGATGCACTGAAACATACTGCTGAGGGGGCAGCAGGTGAGACAGGAGAGGTCTATTGCGCCATGTGGGTCACCTCCGTGGCCAGGTATTGAACTCATGGTGCAAGTCGCTTCATAGTGCTGAGACTTTAACCCCCTGCACCAGCAGGGAGGCCCCCTCTCTTGATTTTTGCAAAGTCAAAGGACTTGGAAGTTACTCAGGGGTTCCCTGGATGGGAGCCTGGCAAGAGCACTGGTCTGGGAGGGGATTAGCTTTGACCTTGGGCAAATTAGGTTCTTCTCTGAGCTTTGGTTTACTTATAACCCAAGTACGGCCAACATCCCCAGGGAGCCCTGCCAGTTCCAATAATCTATGATCCTTTCAGAAGCAAGGCTGGTCAATTGCTGAATGGGGCTGGTTTGGGTCAAAAGCTCCGTGTGATTATGATACTGCTCCGCCTATGTTCCTGGGTGGCGGTAGGTTGGCTCAGCACATTGCTGAAATGCTGCTGTGTCTCTGGTGTCCCCAAGCACAGACACGCACCTGCCAGGACTTAGCACACTGTAAGGGCACACGCCTCGCTTGTCCAGCCACCTTAGCCCTCTGATATTGGGCACTGGTGACACGGGTGACACTGGGGAGCTACAGCTCGCCTGTAATTGACGTTCCTGTTTTCTAAGAAAAGTCTATTGATTTTTAATTCAAACCAAAGAGAAGATGCATAAGATGCATAAGATGCATAAACTATCCATAAACCTTTGACTTAGATTTACCAATTTTACCTCATTCATATTTCTCTCTTGCTGCTATAATAATCATTTTTTTCCCAAATCTCTTGAGAATAAATTTGACAGTAGACACTATGAACTTTACTCCTAAATACTGCGACAGGTCTGGATATTCTTCTATAGAACCACAGATAATAATCACATTTTGTTCCCTCTCTTGAGATTGCTTTCAATGTTAAGAGTCAGCGCAACTCCGACATGATACTATATCTGACCTACGGTCCGTGTCCAAGTTTTACCCGTTATATCACTTCCTGAGAGTGATGTCTGTTCTCCCATTCAGGCCTCAACCCCCTGATCCCACAGGACATTCAATCATGCTGTTCTTTAGCCTGGAAGTTCCTCATGACCCTGAGTGTTGTGAATTCATGGGGCGGTTGTTCAGCAGGTCCCTTGGCCTGGGTTTATCAGATCATGTTTCCTGATTTACACTGAGGTCACGCATTCAGGGCAGGACTACCAGAGCCTGGGGCCTGGGGCCCCTTCTCCAGCCCACGGGCCTTGGACCCCTCGGTGAAGGAAAAGATGGCCAAATTTCTCGCTCCTAACGTTGCCTTATATTCCCTTTGGAATTAGCAAGTAAACCCAACTTTTCAAGAAAGAAACAAGTCCAAGTATGGGCACGTCTCTCTCATCCATGCTCTCCCTAGGGCGGACAGCAGTGGGCCCCCACCCCTTGGTGTTTGGGCTCCGTAGCAGAGTGGCTCTGTGTCTCTCCTCATGAGGACAAAGAATGCGGTGCCTGAATTCTTGCCACTGCCAGCCAGCTGCCGCGTGAAGGCCACGTGCTGTTTACCAGTCTCGGATGGGGTAAGATGGTCCAGCGGCCAGCAGGGCGTGGCAGCAGGGAACTCAAACCACAGTGCTTCCCAAGGCCTGGACGCAGGGGACGCGGGCTCCGGCAAATGTGTGGGGAGCATTCTGCTGAGGAGCTGCTTTCAGTTCCCTTAAAAAGCCTCTGTGGGGGCCCTCCCTGGTGGCGCAGCGGGTTAAAGCACTGCACTAAGAAGCTTAAGCCACTTCCCAATGAGTTCGATCCCCGCCTGCCCCGGAGGTGATCCACATGGTGCGGCAGACCTCTCCTGACCCGCCCGCTGCTCCCTCCCCTCAGCAGTGTACTTCGTCCATCTGCCTGTTCTGCTCCCCACTCTGTCTCTGGTGAATCCTCTCACCCTCCGCATCTCTGGCCTGTACCCCGTTCTGTACGAATAAATAAATCTTTAAAAAAAAAAAAGTTACCACTTAAAAAAAAAGCCTCTGTGATTTTCCACCACCCGCTTGAGGGCTGGCCTTCCTGGAGAAACCTCCCAGCAGTGAGGTCAAAGACGGGAAAGCGTTGAGGGTGGAAAGAGCTTGTCTTTGGACAGAGCATTCTGGGCCACAGAGGCCTAGAGGTTCCTTGAAGTTTCACACTGGCCTCAGCAAGAGGGCTCACTGAAAGGTGAGGTCTGGCCACGCAAAGCCACGGTTCTCCACTCAGAGATCTGGGAGGATGTGACTGCTTGGTCAGTTCAAGTTTTCTTTAATTTTCTTGCCCTTGTCCATGTTGCCATGGCCGCTTCCCTGAGGAAATGGGGACTGCTTTTCACTTAGGAAATAAAAGTTACATACATACATACATACATACATATATATATCTCATATATATATATATTTCATAAAAGATATTTTTTGAAGTGTGTTGGGCTTTGACATTTTAACAGCACCCCTGAAATTAGATTAGTCATTAAACACTTTCCTTATGAGCCTCCAGTTTGAAGCAGGGAAATAAATAAAAAAAAGCTCTATCAGTTGGGCGGCTTCCTGGCTGTGTGACCTTGGGCAAGTTGTGGAACTTCTCTGCACCCCAGTTCCTTGTCTATAGTACCGGGGTGGTCTGGAATCTTGCTCTGAGTGTCCAGGTTGATGTAAATACTTACGTGTGATATTTCTATTGAGTGCTTACTTTTTGGGACATCTTACATGTATATTGCACATGTTTTTATCTCCTGATTTCTACAATTGTCTGGGTGGTGGCAATCTTTTTCTCACATCTAGAGAAAGAAAAAGAGAATCCGAGGGGTGAAGCATTATGTTCGGGGTGAACCGGGTGCACACGGCAGAGTGGGCATTCAAGAAACCCTGACTGTACTTTCTCCCTACACTCTGCCAGGTCTGCTTGCATGGAAGGCAGTTAATAGCAGTCCGCTAGGTCTTCAAGGTTTGGAGAGGAGCATTTCAGACGCAGGGAGCCCCAAAGCGAAGTATGCCCTGCGCTTCAGCAAGGGTGTGTGTGCAGAACTGAGATCCGCAAGCCCTGGCGGAGCATTTCTGGCGGAGCCCGCAAAAAGCGGTTGTCCCTTCGCGTCTGCACTCTCTCAGGACAGTTACTAGCCAGGGAGAAACTATAATAAAAACAATTGTATTGCAATTAGCCCACCTACTGGTCCAGATCGTGGCGGCTTCCAGGCGGCCAGGAGCCCCCGAGGGCGAGGGCGAGGGCGAGTCCCCAGACTGGGGACTACTCCCCAGCTACCGGACAGGGAACCCACTGGCCAGCTGGGGCTGAGTTCTGAGCATGGGTGGGGCAGAGTAGGTTGGGGGCAGGACAGAGTAGCCCCGCTCACCGTGGGGCCCTGTGGTGCCTACTTGTCTTCGCAGAGACCGTCAAGGCTGGGGAACTTGCTAACCACCAGCGGTGTAAGCGGGGCGGGCTACCCATCCGCTTCTCACCAGCGCCCACTAAGGAGGAAATGGGTCCCCCCCCCAAGCTCGGACCGTGGGCTCTTCTTTCCGGAGATTGAGGGGGCGCGGGGGGAAGGAGGGAGCCAGTGGAATAGAAGGGGAACACAGAGGGGCGAGCCCAGGTTGGGGCAGGCGCGTGGTCTGGGTGTGGCGGGGTGAGGGGAGGGCGGAGAAGGCAG